CTACAGCACAAAATCTGGCCAGTGTCGCTGATGCAGCATGGTCCCTCTCTCTCCGCCTGCTTGGTCCACCGACAAGGAATGCTGACATTAATATTAATAATCTTGGCACAAAGCATGCTGCAAAAGCTACTGGATCAGAACAGCATATAAGTAAACTAAAGGACCCTTCTCCAGGCCTTTAGGTATGTAGGGCATATAGGGCTAGACCTTTATTTGTATAGACCAATCGGCACAATTGGGTGATGTGGTCAGCATCACACCGGCCACCTCTACTTCTCGGGACTGCACCCGGTACCCACTCAAGGCTAGGTCGACCTGGGAGCCAAGGTCATTTTTGAAAAAAATTTGGCTCCTCCAGGGAGCGAACCCACGCCGCTAGGACTTCCCAGGCACATAGGGCTAGACCTGAATTTGATAGACAGTGGTCAGCATCATGCCAGCCACCTTTGGTATGGTACTAACTTAAGGCCCGGCCAGCCAGGGAGCTAACCTCTTCTATTTTCAATGTATTGGTCCATCAGGGCTTGAACCCACAACCTTCAGATCCGCAAGCTAGTGTCTAGTCGCTACACCACATCAGCTCCTGTACACCTATAGTATCTGCATATGGACATACTGCTGACTGTTATATTCAGTCAGAACACAGTCATCTCACGGCAATGTCCTCCACTTTTTAACACACAGTCATCTCATGGCTGGCAATGTCCTCAACTTTTTAACACACAGTCATCTCACGGCTGGCAATGTCCTCAACTTTTTAACACAGTCATCTCACGGCTGGCAATGTCCTCCACTTTTTAACACAGTCATCTCACGGCTGGCAATGTCCTCAACTTTTTAAAATTTGTTTGTTAATTACGATTACACGAATTAAGTAAAACTTTAACTGGTAACTGTGGGTGGTTATATATTACATATCAACATCATAAATACAACACAATATGAGCAGTTCTCACACAATTATTGCAAGTTTTCTGTTACTGTTACATTAAGTCGTGCAATACCAATAGGTAACCATTTGTTTGCTGCTGTTTTTTCACAAGGCAAACTTTTATGAACTCCTTGGTGCCCCCAGCCAGTTGTTATACTACAGACTGTCTCAACTGTTACAAGGTAAACTTTTGTTACACTCCAGCCAAGTGTTTGCTTACAAGGTAAACTTTTGTTACACTCCAGCCAACTGTTTGCTTACAAGGTAAACTTTTGTTACACTCCAGCCAACTGTTTGCTTACAAGGTAAACTTTTGTTACACTCCAGCCAAGTGTTTGCTTACAAGGTAAACTTTTGTTACACTCCAGCCAACTGTTTGCTTACAAGGTAAACTTTTGTTGCACTCCAGCCAACTGTTTGCTTACAAGGTACACTTTTGTTACCCAGGCTCTGCCACAGTTATGGCTGAAATCCCTTGTTGCCATTTAACGATATTTTAAGCATGGTCACAAAACATTTGTTCATCAAAATAACTGACAGGGGATAGAATATTGTTTGAGACAGAATGGCTGTCTGCTTAGAAACAATGCCTTGTGAGGCTATTCCATAAATAGCATTCATCAGAAGAGGAGAGATATATAGAGCAAGAGGTAGATCAAGAACATGATGGAAAGATAACAAAAGAGAAACTCTACAACATTACAATGTGTCTATGGTCAAGTGTTCAAGAGGAAGAAAAAGATGAGGAAAGAATGCAATAAATAACTGCCTAGAACTGACAGACTGAATAAACAAACAAACAGACAGACGGACGGACGGACGGACGGACAGTTGAGAAAGTGAGGTGCCCTTCTCATGCTATCAGATGTACCAGGTAGTGTCACAGACATAGCTTTAAATCAACTGACACTCAATGAGCCATCTGATGGTTGTCACAATGGCTGCCTTTACTTCATAGGAAACTTCCTGGAAACCATTTTAAGCTGCAGTGACCTGGGAACCTAGGCCCGTGGAAAAAAAGACTGTTTGGCTCGGATGAGATCTGAGCATATGGCCAGCAGATAAGTGTGCTAGCCACTGAGCCACTAGTCACAAATTAAATGCACAGTTGTTGTTTTATTCAAGTCAGAAGTGCTGGCTACAAGGTAGGTACTGTCCTGACAATGATTTTACTGTTTACAACAGCAGTGGTGGGCAAGGGGAAACTACTTCATTCCCGAATGATAAGTGAGTAAGTGAACTTATTGATGGGATGACAAGTTTCAGATTCTGGATACTTGTCCACAGGCTGACTACCATCATGGTGTTGACTCTGGCACTCCCAAGTAACAAGATGTCAATTGGTTGGTTACTTGTCATAAGAGCAGCATTAATGTGGTGGCTAGATACTCACCTACCTGCCTGAAGATGTATGGTTTGAATCCACACTGGGGTGGATTTGAAGGAAAAAAAATACCAGGGATGCAAAGGCAGCTGATGTAATACTAACCACATGACTGACTGGTCGATACAACTGTGGTGAGTATGGCTGCATACATGGCTGGCATCACATGACTGACTGGTCGATTCAACTGTGGTGAGTATGGCTGCATACATGGCTGGCATAACATGACTGACTGGTCGATTCAACTGTGGTGAGTATGGCTGTATACATCGCTGGCATCACATGACTGACTGGTCGATACAACTGTGGTGAGTATGGCTGCATACATGGCTGGCATCACATGACTGACTGGTCGATACAACTGTGGTGAGTATGGCTGCATACATCGCTGGCATCACATGACTTCCATGTTTATTGTAACTTATTGTGTTATTATTTGAACCTGCTCATACCCAGACATGTTTTACTTGAGTAAAGTTTTGCCCGGAGTCTTTGGAGTACAAGAGTTAATCAGATGACAAAAATAACTCTAGGCTGATTTGTTAAAGTGAGACATCATAGTCCAGCTGACACCTTCATGTCCCAGTACCCACCCATGTACCTGTACTCAGCCACCCACTAATGTCCCAGTACCCACCCATGTACCTGTACTCAGCCACCCACTAATGTCCCAGTACCCAACCAAGTACCTGTACTCAGCCACCCACTAATGTCCCAGTACCCACCCATGTACCTGTACTCAGCCACCCACTAATGTCACAGTACCCACCCATGTACCTGTACTCAGCCACCCACTAATGTCCCAGTACCCACCCAAGTACCTGTACTCAGCCACCCACTAATGTCCCAGTACCCACCCAAGTACCTGTACTCAGCCACCCACTAATGTCCCAATACCCACCCATGTACCTGTACTCAGCCACCCACTAATGTCCCAGTACCCACCCAAGTACCTGTACTCAGCCACCCACTAATGTCCCAGTACCCACCCAAGTACCTGTACTCAGCCACCCACTAATGTCCCAATACCCACCCATGTACCTGTACTCAGCCACCCACTAATGTCCCAGTACCCACCCATGTACCTGTACTCAGCCACCCACTGTCCCAGTACCCACCCAAGTACCTGTACTCAGCCACCCACTAATGTCCCAGTACCCACCCAAGTACCTGTACTTAGCCACCCACTAATGTCCCAGTACCCACCCATGTACCTGTACTCAGCCACCCACTAATGTCCCAGTACCCACCCATGTACCTGTACTCAGCCACCCACTAATGTCCCAGTACCCACCCATGTACCTGCACTCAGCCACCCAATAATGTCCCAGTACCCACCCATGTCCTTTTAGCACTATCTGAAAGTTTGTGAACCTAAAAGTCTTATGGAACGGAAAATTATAGCTTTGAATTGAAGAAATTATAGTAGCAATAGAAATCAAATGAGTTAACAAAAGTAGGAAGTAAAAGAAGAGAGATAAGTGTTACACTTAACCTATTGTGAGTTCTCTAGTATAGAGAGTTTCATTAACCATATGCATGTTTGGACTGGTGCCGTAAACAGTAGATGACTCATGCAAGGACTACCCTAAACACAGCCTGACAAGGCAAACTCTGCCCCACAGAAGTAGATCACTCATGCAAGGACTACCCTAAACATAGCCTGACAGGACAAACTCTGCCCCACAGAAGTAGATCACTCATGCAAGGACTACCCTAAACACAGCATGACAAGACAAACTCTGCCCCACAGAAGTAGATCACTCATGCAAGGACTACCCTAAACACAGCCTGACAAGACAAACTCTGCCCCACAGAAGCAGTGGAAGTAAAACTTATCAGGACACACAGTGAAAAACTATAACCATCTGAAGTTTATACAAAAGACTGCAGATACAGACAGTTCCAGGCAACTACACAAGTAGACCCTGTCACATTTGGAAGCTATAGATGCACCAGGATTCAAACTGACACCTCCTAGTGATGAAAGTGGGAGACATCACCAGCTGGACCTGACAAAATGCTGTCGTCACAGTCTAAGGTCTAACATTGCACCCACATGTACAACTATGGAATACACAGAGGTGACACTTGCTTTGATGTACACCTGTATACTCATCAGTATCCACCTCTCATTCACTGCGGAAATCTGTTGAGTGTTGTCTTATGGCAGCATGGATCCAAGCTAGTCCAGTCTCTTATGACGATGGATAATCCAACATTTACTGGGGTTCTGCATCCGAATGTACAGGAAAATACAGCCCCTGGGGTGTGAAATGTGAGGCCACATCTGCTAGACAAATAAGGTGTGGCGGGCACAATTAATCCTCATCACTTGTTCTTCCCAGAAAATGTTCAAACAAAAGGATGGGTGGAGCTTGATCCACAGTGGTAGGAAATAGTAATCCTGCAACTGCCCGACCACTACTATTAAAGGCAAGTGTGCAAACGTCTGCGCCAGCATATCCTCTTACAAATTAATCATACAATGACCATTTCTGTAATAATAACAGAGAATGATGACCAGCAAGTCTCAGGTGTGCCAAAGTTGTACAACTTTAATCATATGTACATGGACATACATCCCAGAGGTGGCGGTGGTGATGATGAAAGAGGCTCCAAGATCTGCCAAAGATTTAGCTCCATCAGCAGAAACAGCCCAACACGTGTGGTCCTGACCTGTGACTAATCTGCCGGGTGTTCGGGGCAAGATCTGTTGATTTCAAACCATTTGTCGATACACCTGGAACCAGACAACGAATGCCTGTCAGTAGACCTGTAACTAGATAAATAACTGTCAGTAGACCTGTAACTAGATGAATGACTGTCAGTAGACCTGTAACTAGAAAAATAACTGTCAGAAGACCTGTAACTAGATGAATGAATATCAGTAGACCTGTAACTAGATGAATGACTGTCAGTAGACCTGTAACTAGATGAATGCCTGTCAGTAGACCTGTAACTAAATGAATGACTATCAGTAGACCTGTAACTAGATAAATGACTGTCAGTAGACCTGTAACTAGATGAATGACTGTCAGTAGACCTGTAACTAGATGAATGACTGTCAGTAGACCTGTAACTAGATGAATGAATATCAGTAGACCTGTAACTAGATGAATGACTGTCAGTAGACCTGTAACTAGATGAATGACTGTCAGTAGACCTGTAACTAGAAAAATAACTGTCAGAAGACCTGTAACTAGATGAATGAATATCAGTAGACCTGTAACTAGATGAATGACTGTCAGTAGACCTGTAACTAGATGAATGCCTGTCAGTAGACCTGTAACTAAATGAATGACTATCAGTAGACCTGTAACTAGATAAATGACTGTCAGTAGACCTGTAACTAGATGAATGACTGTCAGTAGACCTGTAACTAGATGAATGACTGTCAGTAGACCTGTAACTAGATAAATAACTGTCAGAAGACCTGTAACTAGATGAATGCCTGTCAGTAGACCTGTAACTAAATGAATGACTATCAGTAGGCCTGTAACTAGATGAATGCCTGTCAGTAGACCTGTAACTAGATGAATGCCTGTCAGTAGACCTGTAACTAGATGAATGACTGTCAGTAGACCTGTAACTAGATGAATGACTGTCAATAGACTTGTAACTAGATGAATGACTGTCAGTAGACCTGTAACTAGATAAATGACAGTCAGTAGACCTGTAACTAGATAAATGCCTGTCAGTAGACCTGTAACTAGATGAATGACAGTCAGTAGACCTGTAACTAGATGAATGACTGTCAGTTGACCTGTAACTAGATGAATGAATATCAGTAGACCTGTAACTAGATGAATGACTGTCAGTAGACCTGTAACTAGATGAATGCCTGTAAGTAGACCTGTAACTAAATGAATGACTATCAGTAGGCCTGTAACTAGATAAATGACTGTCAGTAGACCTGTAACTAGATGAATGACTGTCAGTAGACCTGTAACTAGATGAATGACTGTCAGTAGACCTGTAACTAGATGAATGAATATCAGTAGACCTGTAACTAGATGAATGACTGTCAGTAGACCTGTAACTAGATGAATGACTGTCAGTAGACCTGTAACTAGAAAAATAACTGTCAGAAGACCTGTAACTAGATGAATGAATATCAGTAGACCTGTAACTAGATGAATGACTGTCAGTAGACCTGTAACTAGATGAATGACTGTCAGTAGACCTGTAACTAGATGAATGACTGTCAGTAGACCTGTAACTAGATGAATGACTGTCAGTAGACCTGTAACTAGATGAATGACTGTCAGTAGACCTGTAACTAGATGAATGACTGTCAGTAGACCTGTAACTAGATGAATGACTGTCAGTAGACCTGTAACTAGATGAATGCCTGTCAGTAGACCTGTAACTAGATAGAATGTAACTAGATGAATGACTGTCAGTAGACCTGTAACTAGATGAATGCCTGTCAGTAGACCTGTAACTAGATGAATGCCTGTCAGTAGACCTGTAACTAGATGAATGACTGTCAGTAGACCTGTAACTAGATGAATGACTGTCAGTAGACCTGTAACTAGATGAATGACTGTCAGTAGACCTGTAACTAGATAAATGACTGTCAGTAGACCTGTAACTAGATAAATGACTGTCAGTAGACCTGTAACTAGATGAATGACTGTCAGTAGACCTGTAACTAGATGAATGACTGTCAGTAGACCTGTAACTAGATGAATGACTGTCAGCAGACCTGTAACTAGATGAATGACTAGACCTGTAACTAGATGAATGACTGTCAGTTGACCTGTAACTAGATGAATGACTGTCAGTAGACCTGTAACTAGATGAATGCCTGTCAGTAGACCTGTAACTAGATGAATGACTGTCAGTAGACCTGTAACTAGATGAATGACTGTCAGTAGACCTGTAACTAGATGAATGACTGTCAGTAGACCTGTAACTAGATGAATGACTGTCAGTAGACCTGTAACTAGATGAATGACAGTCAGCAGACCTGTAACTAGATGAATGACTGTCAGTAGACCTGTAACTAGATGAATGACTGTCAGCAGACCTGTAACTAGATGAATGACTAGACCTGTAACTAGATGAATGACTGTCAGTAGACCTGAATGCCTGTCAGTAGACCTAACTAAATGAATGACTATCAGTAGGCCTGTAACTAGATGAATGCCTGTCAGTAGACCTGTAACTAGATGAATGCCTGTCAGTAGACCTGTAACTAGATGAATGACTGTCAGTAGACCTGTAACTAGATGAATGACTGTCAATAGACCTGTAACTAGATGAATGACAGTCAGTAGACCTGTAACTAGATAAATAACTGTCAGAAGACCTGTAACTAGATGAATGAATATCAGTATACCTGTAACTAGATGAATGACTGTCAGTAGACCTGTAACTAGATGAATGCCTGTCAGTAGACCTGTAACTAAATGAATGACTATCAGTAGGCCTGTAACTAGATGAATGCCTGTCAGTAGACCTGTAACTAGATGAATGCCTGTCAGTAGACCTGTAACTAGATGAATGACTGTCAGTAGACCTGTAACTAGATGAATGACTGTCAATAGACCTGTAACTAGATGAATGACTGTCAGTAGACCTGTAACTAGATGAATGACAGTCAGTAGACCTGTAACTAGATAAATGCCTGTCAGTAGACCTGTAACTAGATGAATGACAGTCAGTAGACCTGTAACTAGATGAATGACTGTCAGTTGACCTGTAACTAGATGAATGAATATCAGTAGACCTGTAACTAGATGAATGACTGTCAGTAGACCTGTAACTAGATGAATGCCTGTAAGTAGACCTGTAACTAAATGAATGACTATCAGTAGGCCTGTAACTAGATGAATGCCTGTCAGTAGACCTGTAACTAGATGAATGCCTGTCAGTAGACCTGTAACTAGATGAATGACTGTCAGTAGACCTGTAACTAGATGAATGACTGTCAATAGACCTGTAACTAGATGAATGACTGTCAGTAGACCTGTAACTAGATGAATGACAGTCAGTAGACCTGTAACTAGATAAATGCCTGTCAGTAGACCTGTAACTAGATGAATGACAGTCAGTAGACCTGTAACTAGATGAATGACTGTCAGTAGACCTGTAACTAGATGAATGCCTGTCAGTAGACCTGTAACTAAATGAATGACTATCAGTAGGCCTGTAACTAGATGAATGCCTGTCAGTAGACCTGTAACTAGATGAATGCCTGTCAGTAGACCTGTAACTAGATGAATGACTGTCAGTAGACCTGTAACTAGATGAATGACTGTCAATAGACCTGTAACTAGATGAATGACTGTCAGTAGACCTGTAACTAGATGAATGACAGTCAGTAGACCTGTAACTAGATAAATGCCTGTCAGTAGACCTGTAACTAGATGAATGACAGTCAGTAGACCTGTAACTAGATAAATGCCTGTCAGTAGACCTGTAACTAGATGAATGACAGTCAGTAGACCTGTAACTAGATGAATGACTGTCAGTTGACCTGTAACTAGATGAATGACTGTAACTATGTCTGTGACAAAACAGGTTATCAATGTTAATTTTAATGAGATAACAAATGACTGAAATGCAAAGAAGCAAAAGATGCATGTGAAATGTAAAAAGGTAACAGATGATGTCAGTAAAATGTTACCAAAAAATAGATTATACATCTGTGAAAGTTAACTACAAAACAGATAATATCTGAAAACATCAATGGCTTGGCCAATTAGAGAATGCCCTGTCAGGCCAGCCCATACCAGGCATATATTTCATAAGGATGGTGATGTACAGCACAGGGTAGAACATGAACAAGTTGGAATGATAACATCAGAGAAACAGAGTTGTGGCTGAGATGACTAAAAGAGCAATAAGCAGGATGTTATATCTCCCTCAACACTCCAAGTGAGGACAGAGATAGTGAAGAATAAGGTCTGAGACATTTCCTAGACAGTTTACCTGTACTAATGTTAGGCTGTACTGTTCTGAAAATGTTTGACTGTACCAATGTTAGGTTGTACTGTTCTGAAAATGTTTGACTGTACCAATGTTAGGCTGGACTGTTCTGAAAATGTTTGCCTGTACCAATGTTAGGCTGTACCAATGTTAGGTTGTACTGTTCTGAAAATGTTTGTCTGTACCAGTGTTAGGTTGTACTGTTCTGAAGAGGTTTGACTGTACCAATGTTAGGTTGTACTGTTCTGAAAATGTTTGACTGTACCAATGTTAGGTTGTACTGTTCTGAAAATGTTTGACTGTACCAATGTTAGGCTGTACTGTTCTGAAAATGTTTGACTGTACCAATGTTAGGTTGTACTGTTCTGAAAATGTTTGACTGTACCAATGTTAGGCTGGACTGTTCTGAAAATGTTTGCCTGTACCAATGTTAGGCTGTACCAATGTTAGGTTGTACTGTTCTGAAAATGTTTGTCTGTACCAATGTTAGGTTGTACTGTTCTGAAAATGTTTGTCTGTACCAATGTTAGGTTGTACTGTTCTGAAAATGTTTGACTGTACCAATGTTAGGTTGTACTGTTCTGAAAATGTTTGTCTGTACCAATGTTAGGTTGTACTGTTCTGAAGAGGTTTGACTGTACCAATGTTAGGTTGTACTGTTCTGAAAATGTTTGACTGTACCAATGTTAGGTTGTACTGCTCTGAAAATGTTTGACTGTACCAATGTTAGGTTGTACTGTTCTGAAAATGTTTGTCTGTACCAATGTTAGGTTGTACTGTTCTGAAGAGGTTTGACTGTACCAATGTTAGGTTGTACTGTTCTGAAAATGTTTGACTGTACCAATGTTAGGTTGTACTGTTCTGAAAATGTTTGACTGTACCAATGTTAGGCTGGAGTGTTCTGAAAATGAAGGATAAGAGAGATCATGTGGGAGATTCAGGTTGAAAGCCTCCGTAAGTTATGGGTTCTCTCTGTCATAGCGAGAAAATACTAGCCAGCACAGTGCATGACAACTGCACTAGCCAAGCAGCACCCCCACACCCGAATTCGGAGATTTGAAGCAGTAAGGTGTGTCAGCTTCCAAAAACAGCAGCAAGCAACCAAAAATGGACCAAGACTGGAAAACAAGAACACGATAATATCGAAACATGCCGGCTGAAAATATCAGACACAACATACCCTTTGTGGTATATACACAGGCAGGGTAGCCTAGCAATGGTATCACCTTGTGTTAACTCCTCAAAACAGATAACACACTCGCCCTTGTCCTCTGACAGCACATCCTCTGGGGAAGACACACACAGAGATAAAGTTCACATCCTCACTGCTGTGTGTTGTCGATGTTTTCCACTTTAATAGATGTATATATAATATTCATACCAAATGACAGAAACATGAAAGTGTGATAGGAAAATGTCACAAAAGAAACATTTTATCTTTTTCTTTACGTAGTCTTGTGGCACTGGTTGTAATATGTGCCCACAGCCTTCTGTCTCGTGTACCCTTAAACAACTGCAGCACAGATGATCCTCCTTGCCACAATGCCGAACCGTCCACAGCCCTCTCTCTTGGCCTCCCTCTGCTTCTCTTGCCCTCCAACTTTCTCACTGTCACAGTTTTGCCCTTGTCACTGAGTGATCAAATAATGTAGACTGCCTGTTGGTGCATGTGAGTAGTTTCCCTTGTGAGTTCTTTGCTTGCACGCCTTTCACCCTGGATGCAGTTTAAACAATAGGTCATAATCTCAGTCATTATTACATTCATTTAAAATATGCATTCATCCACATTTTTACAGTTTTTTCCTCTCAAAATATATAGGAGTAATCAACAAACATGAACAGGGTGAAGCACTTAGTAGGATGCAGGTCACCGTAGGAAAGTCAGAAAAGATACATTTACGAGCAAATGAACACAGCTCGAAATGTTGGTTTTTCAGGTTCTCAGGGTGAAAGGGTTAAGACATCATCATTATGCCTTGTAGCTCTCCATCACGTTATCTTTAAAACCACATTGCTGCAGTTTCCATAGAATTTTTCATTAATCATGATTCCATTCCGTACATCATTATACCTTCTGACTTTTCATAATTCACTTCCGTACATCATTATATCTTAGTCATAACTAAGGTGTGGTTCAATTATGCAAGGTATTCATATTATCATATCAGACAAACGTAATGTCTTACCATTATAATTAATACGTGGTTTGGTCAGACACAATACGAGATGGTACTCAATGTCGTCGGAGGCTATCTGCTTGGAGCAGACTGGACATTTGATACCTGCTGAAGGACAACACAAATCATGAGGACATCTCCTGAAGACAGTCATTACTGACCCGGCTTGACAATACATCAGTGCCGGTCCAGCCCCCCCCCCCCCCCTCTTCATGTGGGAGCTGGGTTTTTGCTATGGACACTACACTTCTGGTACCTGTCTTACAGGTGTGAGTCATCTCTATGTGCAACCAGTAAAGAAAACGAGTGTTCCTGAACTTAAATCTTGCAGAACAATTCTCTAAATGTCATGAATCCAGAAGAAAGGAAATGCTGACCTCTACATGATGTAAGCATCAAATAAAACTGTTTTACAGATAGTATCATGTCTCAGAAACTGACACACCTTTGGCTAACTGGAATGTGTCAGCAGTTGCACACACAGGCACACACAAAGTTAATGGAAGAGAAGGTTCCTCAAATGTGAAGCAGGGGTCTACAAGAATACAGATTCCCTCTTGCAGGTAGAACCACAGATAACACAGGACATTACAGACATCTAATGTTCAGGTTCCCACCCTCCTGGCTGCCTCAGCCAGTGATCCCTGATGTTATATTTCTATTTGTTCTTGGTCTACCTCTTGCTGTACTACGTCCCTCTGCTCTTTTGGAGCATAGTTGTATGGTATGGCATCACAAGGCATTCTATCTAAGAAAGCAAATCATTTAATTTGCCTTTTTTTGTGAGTGTAATTAAGAATTGGTTCTGTGCTGACTTTTTCTTGAATGACTTCATTCCTGATCTGATCTCTTCTGGTGACTCCCTACTCAGATGTGTTTTTGTCTGGTCACTCCCTGCTCAGATGTGTTTTTGTCTGGTCACTCCCTACTCAGACATGTTCTTGTCTGGTCACTCCCTACTCAGATGTGTTTTTGTCTGGTGACTCCCTGCTCAGACATGTTCTTGTCTGGTCACTCCCTACTCAGACATGTTCTTGTCTGGTCTCTCCCTACTCAGACATGTTCTTGTCTGGTCACTCCCTACTCAGACATGTTCTTGTCTGGTCACTCCCTACTCAGACATGTTCTTGTCTGGTCACTCCCTTCTCAGACATGTTCTTGTCTGGTCACTCCCTACTCAGACATGTTCTTGTCTGGTCACTCCCTCCTCAGATGTGTTCTTGTCTGGTCACTCCCTGTTCATACATGTTCTTGTCTGGTCACTCCCTTCTCAGACATGTTCTTGTCTGGTCACTCCCTACTCAGACATGTTCTTGTCTGGTCACTCCCTACTCAGATGTGTTCTTGTCTGGTCACTCCCTGCTCAGACATGTTCTTGTCTGGTTTGCTGTGAGCGGCCATCTTTGGCACTGGCAGCAGAGATTTCTTGAGCATGTGACCATCTATAAACTCCAAAAAACGGTTTGGTTTGATCTGATGTGTGCACACAACACTTTCATTGCAGCAAAGGATTATCTTCATCAGCTCTCCAGTTGCAACCCGCAGACAACATCCAGATACCTCCACCAGCTCTCCAGTTGCAACCCGCAGACAACATCCAGATACTTCCACCAGCTCTCCAGTTGCAACCCGCAGACAACATCCAGATACCTCCACCAGCTCTCCAGTTGCAACCCGCAAACATCCAGATACCTCCACCAGCTCTCCAGTTGCAACCCACAGACAACATCCAGATACCTCACCCAGCTCTCCGGTTGCAACCCACGGACAACATCCAGATACCTCCCCCAGCTCTCCAGTTGCAACCCACAGACAACATCCAGATACCTCCATCAGCCCCCAACCCGCCAACATTGAACCCACAGACTCCAGTTGCAACCAAGACAACATGCAGATACCTCCCCAGCTCTCCAGTTGCAATCAGCAGACAACATCCAGATACCTCCACCAACTCTCCAGTTGCAACCCACAGACATCCAGATACCTCCACCAGCTCTCCAGTTGCAACCCGCAGACAACATCCAGATACCTCCCACAACTCTTCAGTTGCAACCAGCAGACAACATGCAGATACCTCCCCCAGCTCTCCAGTTGCAACCCGCAGACAACATCCAGATACCTCCCACAGCTCTCCAGTTGCAACCCGCAGACAACATCCAGATACCTCCACCAGCTCTCCAGTTGCAACCCACAGACAACATCCAGATACCTCCCCCAGCTCTCCAGTTGCAACCCGCAGACAACATCCAGATACCTCCCCCAGCTCTCCAGTTGCAACCCGCAGACAACATCCAGATACCTCCCCCAGCTCTCCAGTTGCAACCCATAGACAACATCTACCTCCCCCAGCTCTCCAGTTGCAACCCGCAGACAACATCCAGATACCTCCCCCAGCTCTCCAGTTGCAACCCGCAGACAACCCATAGACAGATACCTCCCCCAGCTCTCCAGTTGCAACCCGCAGACAACATGCAGATACCTTCCCCAGCTTTCAAGTTGCAACCTGCAGACAACATCCAGATACCTCCCCCAGCTCTCCAGTTGCAACCCGCAGACAACATGCAGATACCTCCCCCAGCTTTCAAGTTGCAACCTGCAGACAACATCCAGATACCTCCCCCAGCTCTCCAGTTGCAACCCGCAGACAACATCCAGATACCTCCCCCAGCTCTCCAGTTGCAACCCGCAGACAACATCCAGATACCTCCCCCATACCTCCATCCCAGTTGCAACCCGTAGACTCCCCCAGCTCTGCAACCCGCAGACAACATCCAGATACCTCCCCCAGCTCTCCAGTTGCAACCCGCAAACAACATCCAGATACCTCCACCAACTCTCCAGTTGCAACCCGCAGACAACATCCAGATACCTCCCCCAACTCTCCAGTTGCAACCCGCAGACAACATGCAGATACCTCCCCCAGCTCTCCAGTTGCAACCAGCAGACAACATGCAGATACCTCCCCCAGCTCTCCAGTTGCAACCAGCAGACAACATCCAGATACCTCCACCAACTCTCCAGTTGCAACCCACAGACATCCAGATACCTCCACCAGCTCTCCAGTTGCAACCCGCAGACAACGTCCAGATACCTCCCCCAACTCTTCAGTTGCAACCACAGACACACATGCAGATACCTCCCCAGCAGCAACAGTGACGAAATGTGTGGACACCTGCATCATACTCAGTGTAAATATTGCTTTGTGGGTAGAATCAACTATTTCCTGTTGTGTGTAACTCTGCTGTTGGTGTCCTTCTTCTTCTCCTCTTTTGCTTCTTCTTTCTGTCATTGATGAGTCTCAAACTTGCCTCCACATTCAAGTGACAGCAGCACTCCCAGATGATATCACGGGGAAGAGAAAATACTTGTTATTCTTCTCAGCGTTCACTGGCTGTTGACTCTAGATCTAGCCTGAGAGCTTGACTTTTGCATGCACATCCATTTGACAGATCTGGCTTATCTGTGTGCAGACTGTCAGTTCCTTGCCTCTCAGGCAGACACACTCCGACTTTGTAAGAAACACCTTTAATTAGCTAACTCCCACAAGCGTTGGAATTATATGCCTCTTAAATGTAGTTATTAATCCATTTTGCATTATCAATTTATAATTGAAAAAGGTGTATATGATATGTATGTATGTGCGGCATGTATTGATAAAATACAGCTGCTGTGTGAAAGACGGGTGTCTGGAAGGGCCAATGTAAGACGGGCCTGCCCGCCCAATTTGTAACCTTTTGAAACTAAACTTTGTTCGTTGTTAGAGAGGCAGTCTTTGTTCTCCACAATGGAGCCTCAGACCCACACAAGAAGGAATGCTTACATGTATGTCAATACCAGGTAAAGTCCTGGGAAGTCAAGGCGGCTGGTGTCATGTTGACCCCTTGAGTGCTCACTGGTCTATAAAATAAAGGTCTAGCCCTATATGCCCAAAACAAAACCCTGAAGGTGTGGAAAAGGGTCCTTTACTTTGTAAATGAAGTTGACAATGTAAACTAAAACGTGAAAGCTGGTGGTGGCTGATGTTTAAGTCTAGTCACAGTGCCAGACAGCAGTTCCCTTGTGGGAGCTCAGGTGCTGACATAAATACATGGGGAACACACCAGCTGTTGTTATGAACACAGATAATCACAAGCTGTGTCTGACAGTGGCTGGGGGTGTTATGGCAGCCAGTCAATAGTTGCTGACACCAGGGCCAATCAACTCTCTCTGTTGTCAGCCAAACACTGTTTTTTGTTTTTGTTTCTCCATACACTATTTTCTTGACTTAACCTGTCTCAAACTGCTGTCAACCCGGTTTGTCCCAGCCAATTATTTACTTTACCCACCCTGTCCCAACCAAATGTTAACCTATCTTATCGCAACCAACTGTTAACCCATCTTATCCCAACCAACTGGTAACCCATCTTGTCCTAGCCAAATGTTAACTTAACCCATCTTGTCTCATCCAGCTGTTAATTTATCTTGTCCATTCTCGCTGTTAACTCTTCTGTTCCAGTCAACTGTTAACCCTTAAAAGGGAGTCGCAGATTTTAATAAAGAGAAACTGAGAGATAGATGCAGAGAGGTAGCAGTGAGTAAGAGAGGAAGATGCAGTGAGGAAGTGGTGGAGACGGGTAGATGTTGAGAGGAAGTAGTGGAGATGGGTAGATGTTGAGAGGAAGTGGTGGAGACGGGTAGATGTTGAGAGGAAGTGGTGGAGACGGGTAGATGTTGAGAGGAAGTGGTGGAGATGGGTAGATGTTGAGAGGAAGTGGTGGAGACGGGTAGATGTTGAGAGGAAGTGGTGGAGACGGGTAGATGTTGAGAGGAAGTGAGAGGGAGTGCAAGGTGAGGAAGTGGTGGAGACGGGTAGATGTTGAGAGGAAGTGAGAGGGAGTGCAAGGTGAGGAAGGAATGACAGAGAAGGCGAGAGGAGGGTGTAGATGCAGAGAAGAAGAAATAGTAACATTAAACAACAATAGAGGGAGAAGTAGATCTAATCAGTGATGAGAATAAAAAGAATGAAATACTTAGATGTAGAGGGAGAAATGGGAAGAAATAGAGAGAGAGAGAGAGAGAGAGAGAGAGACTGGCAGTAGTAGTTAGCCAGAAGCAGGGAGAGATGCAGAGGCAGGGAGAGATGAAGAGATGAAGAGGCAGGGAGAGATGCAGAGGCAGGGAGAGATGAAGAGGTAGGGAGAGATTAAGAGGCAGGGAGAGATGCAGAGGCAGGGAGAGATACAGAGGCATGGAGAGATGAAGAGGTAGGGAGAGATGAAGAGGCAGGGAGAGATGAAGAGGTAGGGAGAGATGCAGACGCAGGGAGATATGAAGAGGCTGGGAGAGATGAAGAGGTAGGGAGAGATGAAGAGGCAGGGAGAGATGCAGAGGCAGGGAGAGATGAAGAGTTAGGGAGAGATTAAGGCAGGGAGAGATGCAGAGGCAGGGAGAGATACAGAGGCATGGAGAGATGAAGAGGTAGGGAGAGATGAAGAGGCAGGGAGAGATGAAGAGGTAGGGAGAGATGCAGAAGCAGGGAGATATGAAGAGGCTGGGAGAGATGAAGAGGTAGGGAGAGATGCAGAAGCAGGGAGAGATGCAGAAGCAGGGAGAGATGCAGAGGCAGGGAGAGATGAAGAGGTAGGGAGAGATGAAGAGGCAGGGAGAGATGCAGAGGCAGGGAGAGATTAAGAGGCAGGGAGAGATTAAGAGGCAGGGAGAGATGCAGAGGCAGGGAGAGATGAAGAGGTATGGAGAGATGAAGAGGCAGGGAGAGATGAAGAGGTAGGGAGAGATGCAGAATCAGGGAGATATGAAGAGGCTGGGAGAGATGAAGATGTAGGGAGAGATGAAGAGGTAGGGAGAGATGCAGAAGCAGGGAGAGATGCAGAGGCAGGGAGAGATGAAGAGGTAGGGAGAGATGAAGAGGTAGGGAGAGATGCAGAAGCAGGGAGAGATGCAGAGGCAGGGAGAGATGCAGAAGCAGGGAGAGATGCAGAGGCAGGGAGAGGTGAAGAGGCAGGGAGAGATGAAGAGGTATGGAGAGGTGAAGAGGCAGGGAGAGATGCAGAAGCAGGGAGAGATGCAGAAGCAGGGAGATATAAAGAGGCTGGGAGAGATGAAGAGGTAGGGAGAGATGAAGAGGTAGGGAGAGATGCAGAAGCAGGGAGAGATGCAGAGGCAGGGAGAGATGCAGAAGCAGGGAGAGATGCAGAGGCAGGGAGAGGTGAAGAGGCAGGGAGAGATGCAGAGGCAGGGAGAGGTGAAGAGGCAGGGAGAGATGCAGAAGCAGGGAGAGGTGAAGAGGCAGGGAGAGATGCAGAAGCAGGGAGAGATGCAGAGGCATGGAGAGATGCAGAAGCAGGGAGAGATGCAGAAGCAGTGAGAGATGCAGAGGCAGGGCTTTCTGGCAGCTGGTTGGACTTTTATTCTCAGTTTGTTGGCACAAATGACAAACTTGTGTGGAGTGGGGTGGGTGACCCAACAACCAGCCTGGGACTAAGTGGGTGACCCAACGGCCAGTCTGGGACAGAGTGGTTGACCTATTAACTTGTGTGGATCAATATCTTTTCTGGGACAGTGACAATCTTTCTGGAACAGAGTGACTGACTCAGTTAACTACCTGTCTGACAGTGAACTCCCCTAGTCCTGTCAGGCAGTAACTAACTCTACCCTGTCCATTACTGTACTCAACAGATTATGTGACAACTATAGCAGATTGTGTCAGCAACAATCACTTGACTGCCAACAGCTGGGGGTGAGACAACTATAGCAGATTGTGTCAGCAACAATCACTTGACTGCCAACACCTGGGGGTGTGACAACTATAGCAGATTGTGTCAGCAACAATCACTTGACTGCCAACAGCTGGGGGTGTGACAGCTATAGCAGATTGTGTCAGCAACAATCACTTGACAGCCAACAGCTGGGGGTGTGACAGCTATAGCAGATTCTGTCAGCAACAATCACTTGACTGCCAACAGCTGGGGGTGTGACAGCTATAGCAGATTGTGTCAGCAACAATCACTTGACTGCCAACAACTGGGAGTGTGACAGCTATAGCAGATTCTGTCAGCAACAATCACTTGACTGCCAACACCTGGGAGTGTGACAGCTATAGCAGATTCTGTCAGCAACAATCACTTGACTGCCAACAGCTGGGGGTGTGACAACTATAGCAGATTCTGTCAGCAACAATCACTTGACTGTCAACACCTGGGGGTGTGACAGCTATAGCAGATTCTGTCAGCAACAATCACTTGACTGTCAACACCTGGGGGTGTGACAACTATAGCAGATTGTGTCAGCAACAATCACTTGACTGCCAACAGCTGGGGGTGTGACAACTATAGCAGATTCTGTCAGCAACAATCACTTGACTGTCAACACCTGGGGGTGTGACAATTATAGCAGATTCTGTCAGCAACAATCACTTGACTGCCAACAGCTGGGGGTGTGACAGCTATAGCAGATTGTGTCAGCAACAATCACTTGACTGCCAACACCTGGGGGTGTGACAGCTATAGCAGATTCTGTCAGCAACAATCACTTGACTGCCAACACCTAGGGGTGTGACAACTATAGCAGATTGTGTCAGCAACAATCACTTGACTGCCAACAGCTGGGGGTGTGACAACTATAGCAGATTGTGTCAGCAACAATCCCTTGACTGCCAACAGCTGGGGGTGTGACAACTATAGCAGATTGTGTCAGCAACAATCACTTGACTGCCAACACCTGGGGGTGTGACAACTATAGCAGATTCTGTCAGCAACAATCCCTTGACTGCCAACAGCTGGGGGTGTGACAACTATAGCAGATTGTGTCAGCAACAATCACTTGACTGCCAACAGCTGGGAGTGTGACAGCTATAGCAGATTGTGTCAGCAACAATCACTTGACTGCCAACACCTGGGGGTGTGACAACTATAGCAGATTCTGTCAGCAACAATCACTTGACTGCCAACAGCTGGGGGTGTGACAACTATAGCAGATTCTGTCAGCAACAATCACTTGACTGTCAACACCTGGGGGTGTGACAGCTATAGCAGATTCTGTCAGCAACAATCACTTGACTGTCAACACCTGGGGGTTTGACAACTATAGCAGATTCTGTCAGCAACAATCACTTGACAGCCAACAGCTGGGGGTGTGACAGCTATAGCAGATTGTGTCAGCAACAATCACTTGACAGCCAACAGCTGGGGGTGTGACAGCTATAGCAGATTCTGTCAGCAACAATCACTTGACAGCCAACACCTAGGGGTGTGAAAACTATAGCAGATTCTGTCAGCAACAATCACTTGACTGCCAACAGCTGGGGGTGTGACAGCTATAGCAGATTCTGTCAGCAACAATCACTTGACTGCCAACAGCTGGGGGTGTGACAGCTATAGCAGATTCTGTCAGCAACAATCACTTGACTGCCAACACCTGGGGGTGTGACAACTATAGCAGATTCTGTCAGCAACAATCACTTGACTGCCAACACCTGGGGGTGTGACAACTATAGCAGATTCTGTCAGCAACAATCACTTGACTGCCAACAGCTGGGGGTGTGACAACTATAGCAGATTGTGTCAGCAACAATCCCTTGACTGCCAACACCTGGGGGTGTGACAGCTATAGCAGATTCTGTCAGCAACAATCACTTGACTGCCAACAGCTGGGGGTGTGACAACTATAGCAGATTCTGTCAGCAACAATCACTTGACTGTCAACACCTGGGGGTGTGACAGCTATAGCAGATTCTGTCAGCAACAATCACTTGACTGTCAACACCTGGGGGTGTGACAACTATAGCAGATTCTGTCAGCAACAATCACTTGACAGCCAACAGCTGGGGGTGTGACAGCTATAGCAGATTGTGTCAGCAACAATCACTTGACAGCCAACAGCTGGGGGTGTGACAGCTATAGCAGATTCTGTCAGCAACAATCACTTGACAGCCAACAGCTGGGGGTGTGACAACTATAGCAGATTCTGTCAGCAACAATCACTTGACTGCCAACAGCTGGGGGTGTGACAGCTATAGCAGATTCTGTCAGCAACAATCACTTGACTGCCAACAGCTGGGGGTGTGACAGCTATAGCAGATTCTGTCAGCAACAATCACTTGACTGCCAACACCTGGGGGTGTGACAACTATAGCAGATTCTGTCAGCAACAATCACTTGACTGCCAACACCTGGGGGTGTGACAACTATAGCAGATTCTGTCAGCAACAATCACTTGACTGCCAACAGCTGGGGGTGTGACAACTATAGCAGATTCTGTCAGCAACAATCCCTTGACTGCCAACAGCTGGGGGTGTGACAGCTATAGCAGATTCTGTCAGCAACAATCACTTGACTGCCAACACCTGGGGGTGTGACAACTATAGCAGATTGTGTCAGCAACAATCACTTGACTGCCAACAGCTGGGGGTGTGACAACTATAGCAGATTCTGTCAGCAACAATCACTTGACAGCCAACAGCTGGGGGTGTGACAACTATAGCGGATTGTGTCAGCAACAATCACTTGACTGCCAACAGCTGGGGGTGTGACAGCTATAGCAGATTCTGTCAGCAACAATCACTTGACAGCCAACACCTGGGGGTGTGACAACTATAGCAGATTCTGTCAGCAACAATCACTTGACTGCCAACACCTGGGGGTGTGACAACTATAGCAGATTCTGTCAGCAACAATCACTTGACTGCCAACACAGTCTCAGATAGACTTACATACACTAGGATAAATTCGATGACTGTAGCCTATGGTTGACTTGGGACGTTGAATCACACACACCAGTGTTCCCAAGACTGAACAGGTTAATATATATAAACATATAACACGTGAAAGAGGACAAGAGCCCAAACCTTGCAAGGAGAACAGATGTACAGGCAGCGAGTGCGTAAATGGACGCCCCTGAAAAAGAACTGCCCCGCCACGCTCGTCCCCGGGTGAACTAGAATCAGAGTCTGGGGTACTTCCACGATGCAAGCCACCAGAAGTTCCAGGAATACTAAGCGATCCTGAATTCCCATTCGGAAAACTGACCAGACTGCGGGCTCGAGCCCTGGCCGCCTGGGCAGCGGAGCGAGCCGTCCCGTCCGAGCTAACACCAGCGCTGGATCCAGGAGTACTTGCCGAATAGGTCCGCATACGCGGTTGATTGTTCGTGCTCAATTTGAGTCCCATAACCACGCAGAACACACGTCTATATGATGAAGACGGCAACTGCTAGGCTGAAGTTACAGAACGACGAGTGTGAACAGGTTGTTGGGGCTGGTGATGACAAACACATCGATGTTCTTTCACTTCCACAGGCGCCATTTTGCCTTGTTATCGTCAGGATCCTGACGTCAGTGGTCACGTGAGGGTTAAATATAGAACAGATCAGACACAGGCGCCAGCGACCTGAGCAAAGGTAAGTAGATCAATCAGTCAGATCTAGATCGATCATTTACAAGATAAGTAGATCGTGGGTTCCGGACCCCTTTGTGGGAAGAAAAAGACTAGACTCACTGCCTCCCCCATCGTAGAAATCGACTACTTGGGGGTATCCTAAGTCAGCGTGCAACTGCCTGAGAGGCCACAAGTATACATATCTGTGAAACGGATGTGCACGCAAAACTCAAGTTCTGGAACAAGACCTAGGTCCAGAGGTGGACGAACACCTAGAACTTTTCGTTAGAGTCTACAGACGGTGAACTCTAACCAGAAATAGATCGATCACATATAAATGCAGAATTGGATAAGTGAGCATTATATTAATTTTAATTCAACAGTGTAAATCATTTTTAATGTCCTAAGTAATCGTTAATTAGATTAGGGCATGTGTGCCGAAACGTTGTGGTTCAGCCACACACTGCGATGCTCCCGCAGCCAACATTTATAATTGTGGGACTAATCTCTATTCGCCGCAATGTTAAGAACTTTCAAAATTTATGGTTGTGTGTATCACTTTATTTGAAATATTTCATTTTTGTTTGTCATTCAGTGTGTTGTTGTTGTTATTGTTGCAGTTGTTATTGTTGTTGTTGTTAATGTTGCTGTTGTTATTGAGCCGCCGTGGTGTAGCGGCTGGACTCTCGCCTGCGGCTGCGAAGATTGTGAGCCTGATTTAATTTGGCTCCTATGTCGACCGAGCCAAAGATGGGTAGCAGATAAAGTACTGGGAAGTGAAGGCGACTGGCATATTGACAACATCCCCTATCGAGGTGATAAAATATAGATCTAGCCCGATGTGTCCAATGGACTGAGGGCGAAGAAAGGGGTCTACACATTACTATACTAGTATTAAGCACTTAACAAGGTTTAGATCCTCGTGTTTCCCCCCCACCCCTTTCTACTTTTTCTTTTTGTGTTGGCCCTCTAGGGTTGATGCTCAATAATTAAATCTGTGATAATTAGACAAATGGTAATTAGAGTAATTATACTAGATAAATTATATTTATAATAGTGGGTATATTCCAAATGACCTTTTAAAATCCATATTTATAGCTCTGCCAATGAAACCAGGCACTATAAAATGTGAAGACCATCGCACAATAAGTCTTAGGAGTCACATGACTAAGATTTTACTGAGAATAATTTTGAGAAGAATAAGAAATAAAATTAAACCAGAAATCAGCGATGAACAATGTGGATTTGTAGAAGGAAAAGATACAAACAATCCTTTATACATCCTAAGGACATTGTCAGAAAGAGCTATAGAAGTAAAGACTGATTTGTACTTATGCTTCATAGTCTATACAAAAGCATTTGACTGTGTGAAGCATGAAGAAGTCATCAAACTGTTATGTATATGTATTGGCAGCAAACAGCAGCTATAGGAATTAACAACTGTTTAGGTACATTTCAAAGCATAAAGAGGGGCGTACGACAAGGATGTGTACTTTCACCTGATTTGTTTTCAATATACAGTGAATATATAATAAGAGCTTTAATTGGTATGCCCGGAATTGTGGTTGGTGGGCACAATATAAACAATTTACGTTATGCTGATGACACAGTCTTGATAGCAACAAGTCAGAAAGAACTACAGGAAATGATAGACATTGTGGTGTTAGAAAGTGGAAGAATGGGCCTCAGTTTGAATAATGGGAAGACAGAAGTAATGGTGGTATCAAAGAAACGAATTATTAAGTGTGTAATAAAAGTTGATGGTGTTATTTTAGGACAAGTACAGAAATTTAAGTATCTGGGCACATGGATAACATCAGATGGGAGATGCATAACTGAGATCAGAAATAGAATAGGACAGGCAAAAACTGCATTTTATATAATGAAAAACATCTTGTGCAATATATACTTGTCATTGAGAGTTAGAGAAGAATTCTTGCTTGCTACATACATCCAGTTTTAACATGTGGCTGTAATTCCTGGACAATCGGTTTGCAGGCCAAACAATTTCTGGAGGCCTCAGAGATGTGGTTTTACAGAAGAATGCTTACAATACCTTGGACAGCCAAAAAAGCAGGCAAACAAGAGGTTTTGAAAGAGGCGGGGAGGCCCGAAAAGAACTTATCAAGACATCAGGACAGGAGACATCGTCATTTTCGGCCATGTTATGAGAAGAGGGAAAATAGAACATGTTGTGACCACTGGAAAGATAAGTGGAAGGAGAGATAGAGGAAGACAACGAGAGAAGATGCTTGACAGTCTTGTTGCATGGCATGGAGGTGTGTCGGCACACGAACTGATACATGCTGCAGGAGATTGCAGATTGTGGAGAGACATGATCGCCCACGCCAGTCGGCAAGGCACCTGATGATGATGATGAAAATGATACTAGATAAATAAAAAACGTGTTTTGTTTAAGTTGTCAGTTATAATTATGAAGTTGGGCTTGATTTGTAAAGATCCACGTTCGTTGCACACGGGTAATTTACAAAAGTGTCACAGTCTCACTTTTAACTCTTTGAGTCCCAAGGAACACAGGAGAATCTTATCAGTGCCCGAACAGATCCAAATTAGCTGTGTCTTGTCTTGGGCACAACGTCACGTGTAAAATGTTTTGTTTCGCGTTTTTCCCAGCTCTATGTTTTTAGGTGATGCCAGCATCTTGATCTGCACATGACTGCAGGTTTCATAGGGCTGATTGAGAGTAATGTCCCCTTTTTTGTTATAGTTGTGTGTGTGTGTGTATGTGTCGAAAGAGGCTTTAGCCGAAACGTTCGATTGTTTTGTATGCGTGCATTGTAACTACACCACCTCCTCCCCCTTTTTTGTGTTGATTTGTCGGTAAGCTTCTTGTTCACGGTTCAGTAGAGTAATTTTCTGGTATTGGCTTGATCGCGGTCATCTGTGACGGATACCCGAACTGTAGCTTCCTTGAATGATGAACCATGTTTGCCGTACTGGTCTGCCATCAAGGCCGGACTTGGTTCTGCCACCAACACTACGGCAGTTCAGTCTCACGGTTTCAACCCTTCAGGCCCTGTTGGTTCTGCCACCAACACTACGGCAGTTCAGTCTGACGGTGTCAAACCTTCAGGCCCTGTTGGTTCTGCCACCAACACTGGGACAGTTCAGTCTCACGGTGTTAAACCTTCAGGCCCTGTTGCTTCTGCCAGCCAGATTACGGCAGTGTTGATCTCAGTACGGCCTTAAACCTTCAGGCCCTGCTCTTTTTCATGGCCAGCCAACACTAGAGGCAGATCATTCTTGACGAGTAGGTTAAATATTCAGACCCTGTTTGGGGCAGCTACTAAGACTACGGCAGTTTGTCTGACGGATCGTTAAACCTTCAGGCGCTGTTTGGTATCTGCCACCAACCACTACAGGGACCTTCAGTCCCGTGTGTTAAAGCCATTCAGGCCACATGTTGGTTAGTGCCAATTCACTGTTTTCAGTACAAGTCCACGGTGTAAAACTTGAGGCCCCTGTTGCTCTCTGAGAAACCACACACTACGGCAAGTTCAGTCTGCTGGGGTTGGTTCAGGCCCTGTTGGCTCTAAACCATACACTAAACTAGTTCAGTTTCAAAAACTGTACCACCCAGATCTGAAACACCAACCAAAACCGCACCAGCCAAATCTAAAACACCAACCAAAACCGCACCAGCCAAATCTGAAACATCAACCAAAACCGCGCCACCCAGCAATCTAAAACACCAAACCAAAACAGCACCACCCAGATCGCGGGTTGTCTGCAGCTTCATAATGCTCCACCCAGATCTGAAACATCAACCAAAAACCGCTCCACCGAAGAGGTCTGTCGGACATCAAGACACAAAACCTTGCTGCACTGATCATGAAAATGGGCACAGTCAAAGGCGCTCACAACCTTGCTGTCTGAAACATCAACCAAAACTGCTCCAGTCAAAGGCTCTGAAACATTGCAACCAAAATCGCTCCACCCAGATCTGAAACATCAACCAAAACCGCTCCACCCAGATCTGAAACATCAACCAAAAACCGCAACCTCCACCTGACAGAGACTGAAACATCAACCAAAACCGCTCCACCCAGATCTGAAACATCAACCAAAACCGCTCCACCCAGATCTGAAACATCAACCAAAACCGCTCCACCCAGATCTGAAACATCAACCAAAACCGCTCCACCCAGATCTGAAACATCAACCAAAACCGCTCCACCCAGATCTGACATACATCAAGTCAAAAACTGCCACAACCAGATGTGAAACATGTAGACCTCCACCACAGTACAACCCAGACAACCAGATGCCTGAAACATCAACCAAAGACCGGGCCACAGATCGAAGGCACCGACCAAAACCGCACCAGCCAAATCTAAAACACCAACCAAAACAGCACCAGTCAGACGCGGTTGTCGCAGCTTCATAGCTGTCCATCCCAGTGTGATGGTTATTGTGGCAAAGAGACTGGGGAGTCGAAGGGCCACAGGCTGCCTGACATGTAGACTGGGCACAGTCAAAGGCTGCCACAACCTTGCTGTCCTGACATGTAGACTGGGCACAGTCAAAGGCTGCCACAACCTTGCTGTCTGACATGTAGACTGGGCACAGTCGAAGGCTGCCACAACCTTGCTGCCTGACATGAAAACTGGGCACAGTCAAAGGCTACCAAAGAAAACCAGAGAAAATTGCTGAAATCAGCTGTCAAATCGGTCAACACAACCAACTTCTTGCTGACGTCGTCATGGGATGATGTTCAGCTCTGATGTCATCGGCTGTGTTCTGATTGTCAGACGTTTGCTAGTACTTTGTTT